AACAAAGCGGATATATAGGATAAGTTCAGTAAAGGAGAATACTTTTCCAGACACATCTTGCATCAGTGGGAATTCATAACTGTTCTTCTGCAGGATCAGGAGAATCCAGAAACCAAACAACCACACCCAAAGGAACTTTTACTCATGAAACAAAAGGCCACCTCCACGTGGCTTGGAGAAGGATGACAAATCACAAAACTGTCTAAGTTTTTGGGAACCAGAGCAGCTAGTGAAAAAAAACATTTACTAATTACAACATGACAAAAACTTCATAAATAGCCATATTACACACACAAAAAAACCCTGTTTACGTAAGAGACAGCGTCATCAGAAAGCCTACGCAAATGAGCTGTTGCAAACAGGGCAGCCCAGTTCCTGCTGCTACCTGATGTTTCAGCTCCCCAGTTCCATGCACTGAGGCCTCAGTTATTCACAAATCTGTTATTCTCAGTTAAGTTCTTCCATAGAGAGAAATTTGAAACACGTAGCATCTAAAACTCTTCATGCAAAAAAGCCTGGTTCCAGGGAAAAACAAAAAAAAAACAGAACAGCTGATGGGCGCTCACAGTTCAGCCAGTATTGAGAAACCTGAAATTCAACTGGAAAAAGATATTAACATCAGCAATGTAAGAGTGGGTTGCTTTCAATCAGCTGGAAAAGGCGAACACCTCCAAGTGCTAATGGTTTTATAGTATTTGCTAAGTAATATTTCAACGGTTCTTGAGATAAGTGCACAATGGTATCTGCCGAGATTATCTCATCTTTTCCCAACTGGTGAAGGCAGCTCATTAGCTCAGAACTGTTCGGCAAACATCCGACGAACAGCGGCAAGTTCTTTTAACAGCCCAAGAACATCCACGTGTTTTTCTCATACCCCCGCATCACCTCAGTCAACGACCGCTCCACTCCACAAAGCAAATCCACCACCATCCTCCCCCCCGCTGCCCCGGCACTTGGAGCGATCAGCCCGGCACCGCATCGCCGCCCATCCCTCAGCCCGGCACGGCCCGCCGTAGGACGGGAGTTCACCCACAGCGGGCCGCGCTCACCGCCGATCATTGAGGAAGAGCCGAAGCGGCGCTACGCCAACGAGACACAACCGCTACCCTGCAGAAGCGCGTCTTCGGCCTCCGCACAGGCAGCCGCTCCGCTTCGTGACGCCAGCACGGAGGCAGCCAGCCGCTGTTATTGTTGCTACACGCAACGGAGCTCGCCGCTCGCCCCTCGCTTCCCGCCCTCAGGCCGCACCTCGCCCCTCGCTTCCCCCCGCACGGACTGCCGGCCGCCCCACCGGAGCTACCGCGCCCCGCGGCTCCGTCCCGCGCTCACCCAAAAGGGCTCGGAGCCGTCCGCGCTGCAGAGGCTTTCGATCCCCATGTGGCGTCGAGGCGACCCGCGGACCGCCGCGGCAGCGCTGCGCTTCCCCCTCCGCACCTCTCCGTGCCCGGGCGGCGGCGGCCGGCAGCGCCGGCGCAGCGCCCTGATTGGCTCCGCGGTCACGGGGATGCGGGCCCCGACGGCGCCGCCGCCCGCGCCGCGCGGCCCCGCCTCAGCGTGGGCGGAGGCAGGCGGTGTGCCACGCGGGGCCGCCCGGAGCCGGCCTCGGCCCGCCCGGCGCCTCCGCGCTCCGGGGCGGTGGGCGGTGGGAGTAGGAGCGGCCTCGGCTCCCGCTCGGCGAAACCGGCGCCCCCGCCTCGTCTCCTGCCCGCGCACCTGCGGGTCGCGCCGCCCGCCCCGGCTCCGAACGCCCCGCGGCTCCGGGATCCGCGCTGCCCCTCGGGAGGCCGCGCCGACACCCAGCCCGGAGAGCCCCGGCGCCGTCCGGGGAAAGAGTCTCGTCTCGCTTTCATGTGTTTCACTTCCCAACGTGAGCCAGTTAAACTGGTTTCAAAACCGTGAACTAATTCTCACTGTTGCTAGCGGGAACTGAAACTGAACCAAAATAGCTTCACTCGCAGCTTGCACTAAAATACGTGCTAGTGAAGTCACTCGCCGCCCCGCGGTGGTACTCGATTGTCTCTCGCTCCGAATTTCAGCGCATCAGTTCAACCTGCAGGGCAGCAGCGCGCCGAGCTGACCCGAAACGGCGGAACGGCCCCGCGGCGGTGCGGGCGGAACGAACGGCTGCGGGAAGCGGCGGCTGCTCACGTGCTGCCCTGAGCCGAGCTGCGGAAGCATCTAAAGGCTTCAACGTGGAAGTTAGAGACAGAACCCCGCTTTAAAATGTTCTTTTGCATCCAGAGCGCCTGTTGAAATGAAAAGATTGTTCAAACAAACACCAGGTCTCGTTTGCTCAATATGCGAGTACAAAGCAACGCGTGTACAAAAAAAACCACGTCAGAGATCGCCTCTTGACTCAGCCGCACACCTTGGTGGAGGTCTCACGGCTGCGTTGCTACAGCCAGCTGCGGCCAGCAGCCCATCCCACTGCGGCGTGTCTGGGCAGGGCGGCACACGCGTTCCCGGGATGCCCGGTGCAGCAGCGAAGCAGCAGCGCTCAGCCTGCACTGCGCTCCTTGATGAACAGAGCAGAATTATCACAGGAAAGTCAAAACTATTTGGGTGTCAGCAGTTACACTCAGTGTGTCAGCCTAAGCTACACCGTGTTAAAATCTTCACAGTGCTGCCCTCCTGTTGATTCCTCAGATTTATTAAGAGTTTCTGCCCTGCTTTGTACACTCTCTAAATTCATCTTAAAATCCTGCTAGATACATGGGTGGGTTGGTTTTTGGTACCTTGGTGCTCACTACAACACCTGTTGAAAAAATTGACATAGCTCCAGTGGTGTTATCCTGCTGCCCCGTGGCTGTAAGCACTGCCTTTTCCTCCAGTTTAATCTGCACTGCACATAAAGTTAATAGCTCTCACAGTCAATAAAAGTTACCGGTTCCAGTAGGTAAGGTGGAAGAACTTTATAGAACTGTCGATAAGAGAAGCCAGGAAAAAACTGCTAAATAGATAACACAGTCCCTAAGAGTTTACTCTCCTACACATACTGTGTGTGCATTAACAGAATACAAGCCTATACTTGAAATGATACAGCAGAAAAATATTTAGGATATGGAGAACATATGTAGAAAAGTAAGCATGAAGTGAGAGGAAGGTCAAGAAGAACAATTTCTACCTACTTGTTTTTCTCTAGATACTACTGCATGCTGACAGAGTAATAACATTTAAGTTACACTTTCAGGATTTCAGCTTTCCAAGGACTTCAAAATGTTTTTCAGCCATGGGCAGACCCTGTATGAGTCATGCACCAGGTTAATGGTGGTTCTTGTATCTAAAAATACCTGCATTTGCACCTCAAATTAATTCTCTTCTAATTAGTTCCATCTATTAGAAACTTCAACAAAAATCAACAGCAAAGATTTTAACCGAAATGCCGCCAAAATGCAGAGGAAATAATTTAATGCAAAGAATCATAGAATCAAAGAATCATTAAGGTTGGAAAAGACCTCTACGAAGATGTAGTCCAAATGTCAGCTCATCCCTGACAACGTCCCTCAGTGCCACATCTCCACAGCTCTTGAACACCTCCAGGGACGATGACTGCACCACTTCCCAGCAGTGCCAGTGCCCAAACAGTGCTCCTTCTGGGAAGAAATTGGAGCAGAAGAGTTCAGAAGAAGGTAAGACTCAAGATATTTGTTGTGAAGAAAAAATAGAACTGACACAAAGACAGACCATTGAAGTACTACAGGGGTAAGATCCCACATTGCCATAAAGCCTCTGAACATGGATTTCACAAACCGTTGTTATAACTGCATCTTCTGAAACAGAGATTAATACTTAAATAAGCATTAAAGTCTTGTTTTAAAACCGTTTTCCTTGTAATCTCAAAAACAAAGCACCTGAAATTCTGTTCCAGATCCTGAACTTTGCCTTGAAATTAAGCCTGGACAGGAAATACGGGATGGAAAACAACATCTGCTTATCAATTGGAAATTACGTGTAAGAAAGCAGCGACCCACGAAGTCATGGAGAAATCTGGGAGGATGTGGAGACACATGTTTGCCTGTGGGGATGGATGGCACTGAAGGTCAGCGATGGCACTGGGGGAAGGCGGGGAGCAGGCAGCGCTGTGCTGCTGAGCACTGCTGTGTGAGAGGAACGGACACTGCAGCCAAGCTTCTGGAGAATTCTTTTTTTTTCTCCTCTCTGAATTGTATGCATCGCTTCCTTTCAGCTATTCCTTGAAAACTCTGAATATAAATGTTTGCTTTGAGAGGAATGTTTGGGGAAAAAAACAAAACAACAACCATTTTGCTAGGTTACTAAGTGGCTCCATGCTTGAGAGGACGCCCACGTTCCTCCAGGCCAGTGGGCTGCTGCGCTCCTTCCAGACCGTGACACATCCACTTGTTCATCCATACTGACTGCATTTCCTCTGGAAAACACTCCATCATCCGCAAAGCAAACACTGTCAGCTCATCAGAGCAAGGCGAGGCACGCCTGCACCAAGCCCGCACCAGAGCCCCCCGCAGCCTCACACAACCCTACTGCAGCCAAGTCCTTCTAACCACAATCTCGTTTTTGGTGCATGGCAAGTTCGTCTTTGAGAGACCCCGAGCAAAACTCTCCAGGGAGGGACTCTCTTCATTCTTTTTTTCTTTTAAAAGCACACTGACGCCCTTTTAAATTAGAGCGGAAAACACTACAGCAATGCCAGAACGTTCTTTCTCAGCCTCCGCTCGCACGCACAAGATACCTATCTGAGAGTAACTCCACGTAGACGTGTGCACCGCGTACTGTTTATCCCGGTTGCCCTTGCCAGCGCACATCCCACAGCACAGGGTACCGCCTGGCGCTGGCAGCCGCTCCCCGTGCAGCGCTGCCCCGCCCTCAGCCCTCCCGTGCCCTCAGCGAGGCGCTCCCGCCGACGCAGCGCCTCAGACAGCGCGCGGCCCCAGCACTCCGTCTCCCCTCTCACGTCACTCACCGCCCACCGCGCAGCGCGATTGGTCGGTAGGCGCTGAGAGGCGGGGACAGCAGGCGCCCGCCACCGCCCTCTGCGCCTGCGCAGTGTCCGACCGGCGGCGGCCGTTTGTCGCATCCGGGTCAGCGCCGGGGCGGTTGGGCGATGGCGACGGTAGCGGAGCTGAAAGCAGGTGGCGGCCGCGGGACGCCGAGCGGGCGGGAGCGGGCAGCCTCGGATCGCCCCGAGCGCTAACGGGGCTGCTGGCTGCTCGCCTCAAGCGGGGCGTTGGGGAATGACGGGGTTGCCCTGAGCCTCGGGCGCTCCGTCGTTCATTTGGAAACATTCCCCCAGTTTCTTTAACGCCTCCATCTGTAGGCAGTACCTGTCAGTAGCTAACAGTGCCGCTGTTGGCACCCAGTGATCCATCCACGGGTGTGGATATCTTAATTCCACCATGACTCTCCGGGAATTGTGTTTGCATTGCGGGCGATGAATGCTGCTCGAGCACGTTTGGGTTTATATTAACTGAGTTTTTATGGTAACAGTTTTAAAGGACACACTGGAAAAAAGAGGAGCCCTGGGGCAAATAAAAGCGAGGATCAGAGCTGAGGTGTTCAATGCGTTGGATGACCAGAGCGAACCGCGGCCGCCGCTGTCTCACGAGAACCTGCTGATCAATGAGCTGATCCGGGAATACCTGGAGTTCAACAAGTACAAATACGCAGCATCCGTGCTCACTGCAGGTACTGGGGCCGAGTTTGTGGTGTCACTGCTGCTGTAATTGGTATGCACTGCCTGGCTGAGTAACTATTGAAACCATGCAATGAGGTGGGAACAAACTGTGCAATCTTGGCTAACTGGGAAACAAATAGGATGCAAACACCCTCTCTGCTGCATTGTTTGCAGCGTTACGCCAAATTATACCATTCGTTTTTAAGAAAATGTGTTCTTTGTTGCTTATCCTTGAGGTAAACAGCACTTACATTGACAGATCAGTTAATGCAGGAGCAAAAAAGTTTGCCAGCAGCCTACAAAACCGAAACACCATGCCTGACACGTGCTTTTGTTTTGAGAAATGGATATTTTTAAAATGAACATATAAATAATGATAATGTACATATAGAATGTATGTTGCGATTTCTCATTGGCTTTTGAGCAAAATTTAAAAAAATGGAAATCACACAAATCCAAAATTATTGAGGAATAACTTAAAGTAATGTATTAAAGTAGTTGATAGCCTGATTTACAGCAATTCAGGCACATAAGCTGTCAGAGGTGTGATTATCAGTCCTCAGCTTGGATACAAAAAAAGGATATAAAGAAGGCCCGCATTTTTTAGCAACTGCAATTAATTGTTACTGGCTGTGCTAAAATGCTGATATTTGAGAGCTACAGCATTTAACTGGTAGCTCTAATTTGTATTTAAAATTTTAAGTTTTGTAATTGTTCTTAGATGTGGTAATTGCATTTGCTGTACGAGTGTATGATCTGTTTTCCAGAAGCTGGCCAGCCTGAAGTGCCATTGGATAGACAGTTTCTTGTCAAGGAGCTGAACATTGTTGAAGATGCAAATGGAAAATCAGTGTAAGGATTGATTTTGGAACACACAATATACTCTGCACATATGTCTTCACAGTGTTTGTATAAATCACATATAAATGTTCTGTCACCAGCTCAAAACGACTAGATCACATAACTGCTCTAACCATGCTGGATTCAAGTGCACAGCGTCAAACATGGAGCCTTTTCAATCATACTCTAAGCTAGCATTAAATTCTGTGAATGCTACAGAATATGTTCACAAGCTGTTGTAATTGCATGCCTGAGTCTCTTACCACTTCAGTCTTCTTTTTAGTCAGAAGAAGAAAACGCATTCTTTACACATTACCAAGTTGATACACAAAGCAGTAAAAAGATTATTGCGCTGTGAGATAAGATATAAATTCACAGTGTTCTGATGCAACTAGGTTTGTTAGCTAGGGTACAAAAGTGGGTTTAAAACATGTTTAGTGATGCCCTGTAGCTTGGGCCCACAGAATCTGACTCACTCTTAGTAAAAATGTAGTATGGGATACGTGGTGGTGCTCAAGCCAGTAGCCCACTGGTCACATGTTTAATTTGCATGGCAACACGGCTCTGTACTCGTGCTTTGTATGCTCTGATTCTTTGCTTACAAGTGATCTGGAGTTCAGTTGAGAACATCCCCTACTGCAAGCTATGGGAGAGGGGCTGTCTTCAGGGGTGGCTTCTGCCTGTGCTTATTTATATAATTGCATTTAGCATAATGAATTTTAAATAATTACTCTGAAGACATCTGAACATTCTTAGAAGTGAACATTAAGGTGTAAGAACTTCTGAGGAGAAGCTGTTTGTTTTTTTTCTTAAGTGCTCAGTAGTTAATATATTTCATAGACGGCTTTTGTGATTTTTGCCTCGAGCAGACCTCTCTTATATGGAATTATATCGCATTTCTTACACCATGGTAAAGAAGAAAGTACCCAGACTACTCTTCCAAAGGTGTCTTTGCTGAGTTATCCAAGGCAGAACCTTGCTAAACCATCAACCGAGAGGAATCAAAAAGGTGGGTCTGAGTACAGGGTCATCTTCACAGAAGTTTTATTTGCGACGAGGTTTTCTGTGAGCTAGATTTGCTGATAACTGCATAAACATGAGTGGACACAGGGTACTTCCTTCTCTGTACAAGGAATGTTTTGTACAGAAACCTTTTTTATAGAAAAAATTCTTTAGTAGGACATTGTTTATATGCCAGAATACCATTAAACCATGTGACCTGGCCATCCCTCTTGCTCATATATTCATTTAAGAATAGCCCTACTACATCTAACTTCTGATTTCTAAAACTACCTCTTTATGTTCCTTTATTTAAATGAGTGTCCAACTTAGACAACTTCTCAGGTCTGCTTCTCTTCTGTTGGCATGTTAATACTATGTAATGTGTACAGTCTGATTGCCCTCACAAATGGAAAGATACATGGATATCTTATTGAAATGGATATTTTATTTAGAAAGCAGGTGTTTTTAAAAATCAGGGATAGCAAAATGTGTATAACTTTTTCACAGTGTAAAAGGTACTGCAGAGCTCTTGTTACTGTGTGGTAGTTGCAGCTATCTGTTATAGTAAAGGGAAGCAGAGAAATCCAAATTGTTTAGCTTTATTCTTTTAATTCTTTTGGACCATGAAAAGCTGAAAACTCATTTAAATTTGGACCTAACAAATTGTCTTCCCGTTTTCATTAAAGTTAAACTGGCCAAACTGTACTTCCTTACACAACTACAGATCTGGAATGGGTCAGCTAGAGACAGTCTTGGTACACTGGCAATTTAAAACAGAAATTTTAACACAAATTCTTAGTAAGATAAATTAAATAGTGGAATATTCTCATCTGTCCTAATAATTTCTATAGAATATTTATAATGTTTGAGCTGCCAGTTCTCTGTACAGGAATAAATCTTTTCTGAGGATCTAATTCACATCCTGACTGCAGAAACTTAAGCTCCAACTCACTGATCCATAGGACACTGCTAAATCTTATTTCCCTTCCTGTTCTCTGCCTGGTTACTATTAATACTGCGTAAGCTACAAAATGAAAGGGATTGTTGGTCTTTTAATTTTCCCTTTCAAGGAGTCTGCTTGGCATATTGCTTCACCTTCTGCTCTGTGGGATTTTGGAGTATTTAATATTTTCATCATAGTACTACCACCTATTCCTTTTGTATCCAGATATTTGAAAAAATCTGAAGTCTAAGATATTATTACAGTATCTAAAAAGTATAAGGGAAGAATTGAATTAGCAGCTTTTCTTAATACTGAATTGATGAAGACGATGTAGTTGCTCTTCTGCCAGTAGAGGGGGCTGAAGACATAAAATGTCAGTACCACAGCTGCTATAACTATTCTTTTTTGTTAGAAGATTCTTACTCCTATCAGAAATCAAGGTAATCAAGTCCATTCATATACTCAGCCTTCACAGTCTCATATTTAACATCTATCTTGCTTTTCCTATTTGAAATTGTCTTTCTTGCTTATGTTGTTGAATGAATATTAAAATAAACTGGTACACAGAACGGGGATCTCGATACAAGTTGCAGTCAGATGTTCCTGTTAACTGACTTCATTGGAACTGGGTTGAAGAAATCAGAGATCCAGTCTTTGGTCACGCATTTGGTTGAAAAACCACAGTCATAAAATTGAGCTTGGTATGATGATATTCCATATCAAAGTTCTTATTAATAGTTGCATCTTTGGCTCTCCAAATGTGTGAAAACATTTATGCCTATTTTTCATTTTTAGATCGAATTCCAGAACCAGGAAGGATGGCTGGCACGAGCATTGAAGAGCCTCTTGTTCTACAGAGCATAAAGAGATGATGTGATGATGTCTTTTATATGTTCACTTATCCTGTAAAGCTCTTGGAGAGTTAATTTATGAAATTCTTCATTATGTAAATTTTTCCATTGTGTCCAGTGGGACCATTTCCATTTGTTAGAGTTCCCCATGAGACAGGAAGACAAAGTCATTATTCCTGCCAGTGAAAAAATATTAGCAAAAAGGCATTCTTCCTCCAGAAGATAGAAGGAAAACTGTATATAAAATCAGATTAGTCAAGCCTGTGTCTAGAATTAGGCCTAAAAAATACTTCTTTTATATTTTAAAATAAAAATTTACTAGATATTTATAATTTCTGCTCTTTTATTTTTATGTCTTCATGTACCTTTTCTGGTGTCTGAATATTTTTGGTCAGTTTTGTTGTGTTGGATATTTGAAATAATTTTGGAATTATTTAAGAACAAGCACCTGCTACTCTTAGATAAGTATGGGAAAATAAATTTGAAAAGAAAATTGCAGTCCTTTGGAGGAATAGTTGTTTTAAATGCTCCGGAAACAAGGACTATATTTATCTTTATGCCAGCAAACAAACAAGGGTAACTCTTTTCCATCTGGAGTTGCTATAAATTGTACAGTGTAACACTAAGTATATGGGATGGGGGAGGAACTTTTGTTTTTTTCCCAAATGACAGGAAAGCAAAGGCAGGAAGAGTTAAAAATGATAGTAAATTACTGATTCCCAGGACTTTTTTTTAGCTGAGATATTTGGATGTTTTTGCTGATAGAAGTAGACCTTGTAGTGGTACATAAAAAATACCACATAATCTATTTTTTCTTTTTAACAAATTCATACATGTTAATGTTTCCAGTGGTACTGAGAGTAGTTTTGTGTAATTGTTAAATAAATGGTACAGCAAACGTTTGGGGGAAAAAAGAGAAAGAAGTTAATGTACAGTTCACAGATTTTACTGAAAGGACCCGGAGTTGTACAGTCTCCATGATGTTTTCCCTTAGTCTTGATTTCACCCAATTAGCATTGCAGGTATTTTTTTATTTTGATAAGTAGCCTAGGCTCTACTTTAATGTGAAATTGCAGAGAACAGCTGTGGCTTTAAAGGAGAAGCTACTTTCATCCATTTCAAGACTCAGGAGTGAGCTCATCCCCGTCGTGTGGCCGGCAATGCTGATAGCTCCCCATTTGCTTATTTATAAATAAATATCTCAGGACTGTTTCCAAGAGGAGAAGATGTGTGCACATTTATCTTAATCAAATCCATCTTTAAATCTTTCATAGCTTTGCATCAATTATAATTGACTGTTGGATGAAGCAAGCAAATTTGTGTATGCCCTCCCTGTTTGCTATGTTACCACCACCACTAGCAGACTCAACCACTTAGATGAAGAGCCATCTGTATAAAACCTACGTGGGATGCTGCCTTGCTGCTGCGGCTCTTTCCTGCCACACTAGTACAAATCACTGTTCTCTCTCTTCATTTCTCTGTCTAACAGTACAGCAGAAAAATAGTCTTTAAGTTATTTACGAATGACTTTCATTTTGGAATACACTGGAAGTGCCTCTATGGAAACTTGCAGAAATGAACTTTTAAAGAGCATGGATATGATTGCTCTAGCCACAGAAACTCCTGAATTTTGAACTTTGGTTTTCCAGAGGTTAAGTATTTGTCCATAACCTATTTTTCTGTTTCTCATAACATAGTGGGTCGAAGTGTATTTGGAATTTGAAGTGTCTTTTCAAGGGCAAGGAAAAGGCTCTGCTGAAAAACAGAAGCCACAGCTTTCTATGCTATGCAAATCTGCCAAGGTAACCAAAGCCATTGTGTCTGCTTTCTATCTTCCCATCTCAGATTGTACAGAAGCTGCTCAGGTGCCATGGAGCTGCCTGGAATTTTAGCTGCTGAAATTAAATACAATTTTTTTCTCGTGAAAGAAGATAAGGGGAAGTTTGGTACCGGACCTTCCCCAGTAACACAGTCAGCGTGCTCTTTGTCTCCGCAGCCATGAAAGCAGAGGTTGTTACAAGGGTGTGCTTCAGTAAGCTTTGAGGTAAAGGTGTATATCTGAAATCAGAGTAGAAATTTGTTTAAAATAGAAAACTGAAAACCATTTTCTTTGGGAACTGCAGCTTCTGTCCATTGTCAAGATGCTGTGCCGGTACAGGAGCCAGAGTTGGTGTGTCTGCTTTGTTGTGCAACATGCATTTCACCTAATTGTCTTAATACCATCACGTTATAGATTTGGAGTTTTGGAATAATCTTATTTTAAAGCACAGTCATTGTACAAGCAAATTAAAATCAAAGTGTATTTTCCATGGCATTGATTTGTATAACGAAGCTTTGAAATATGTCTATGAAAATATACTAGCCTAATTATTAATCTCTATCACTTGTCCCGAGAGAACCTGGAATATGATCTTTCAAGATGTGGACATGCAGTGAGTTCTATGAGTGCCAGACTGCCTTTACTTGCTTAAGAAGAGGAGGTGCAAATTCTGTACAAAATGGATGCACTTGCAAAAAACCATTCCTTAGAAGTTTCAACTAAGCTAGGCCAGTATTTAGATGAAAGTAATTCACAGTTGCAGCTTCAGATTTTAGATGCAATTTACTTCTAGGTGAGCAAACAACAAAATTTTCTCAAGCAACTTAAGAAGTTCTGTCTTGCTAAATTACAGACTGCAACATCTTGCACTGAGTGCCCTCATTCTTTCTACTGATACCAGAAAATGAGAAAAAGATAAAAGGATTTAGAAGTTCCCCATTTTTGGTGAGCAGAATGCATTTCTGAATTTTATCAGAGTTAGAACAATGTAAGTGAGACTGTTATGTGTGGGGGTTACCTCAAAAGAGGCTGTTCTTCGTCTGAGTGTGATATCAAAAGTGGAGGTGACAAGGAGCCAGCATGGTTTGGTGTGGATATCAGATCTGGAAAGCACTTTGGAAGAACTTGATCCACGAGTTTCAAAAAGATTCTTTAAAACCAAATTTTTGCCCTTCTCTAAATTTAGAGGAAACTGTGTGTGCATACTCCACAGTGCTATTTCGGAGGGATTCGTTTCTGTCGTGCATGGTAGAACTTTTTCTGTAAGCTTTATCAACAAGCCCCAAGGATTCAGTTGCACTTTCCTTCCTGAGCACACTCTGTATCAAGCTGAATTTTGGTATTAGTAGATTGGTTTTCCGGAGGAGTGATTACCAGTTGGTGATTACGTTTAGGAAGAAAAAAACCTAAAAATATTTGCTCACTCTTGAAAAGCTGTCCTTTCAGTAGCAGCCGATGAAGAATTGACCTCTCTGCCTCACACACTTCACTTGACCTGAGTCCAGTATTAAGCACAGTTACCCTGAGCAGTTCCTGACTCCTTTGCCATGTCAGACTCCTCGTGTCATTAACTGTTCTGGTTTGGATGCAGACTGCCTCTCCTGTTGCAAAAGCACCATGCTCTGGTTCCCACTGCATGCCAGCTTAGAGAAATATAGTTGATTTTTAAGTAAAATCATTTCTAAACAAACAATCTGCTTGCCTGACACACATTATTTAAGAACCTAACTTATCACCATGATGTATTTCTCCTGTCTGTGATTCAGGTTACACATGGTAATGCAGCTGAAAGCTCATTTATTTCCCTCTGAAGCCCCCTTTTTTTCCAAGTACAACATTTACTGTGCAGATTCAGGAGACAGTTAAAGGATGGGCTTTATTACTTCTAGAAAAGTAAATTGTAAAAAGGCAGTTAAATAAAGCTTGTTTTGTTATAACAAAAACATTGTCCACTGCAACTCCACAGCATTCAGTCTGATGCACCTTCAGTTTAAGAAGTACCACAGCAATAGGGAAACTCCAACCAGGCTATTTTATTAGTATGTGTATTCTTACGCTGACTTGTAAAAGAAGGTTGAAACCAGGCTTACACTTACCACTTCCTACCCCACACAGCTCAAAAGTGCAACTGTTTCAGGCACAGCAGGAATATTTTTTTAAACTTTCCAGCTCAGTTTAATGTCACATCATATATCACCCTCCTCCGCTGCCTCTTTAAACACACTACTTGGGCACCAAGCCTGCATGTGCACATGCAGTGGTTTGCGAACCAGCAGGAATAATTTCCACTCCTTTTTAAGCTACTATTAAAATGCATCTGGTTTTGTGAAACAGCTGGGTAGGTTTACAAGAAGCTTCTTAGGATAACTGTGATGAATGCCAAAAAGATCACGCTTTTCAGAGGATCCCCTTGCATTTCAGTATTTTCTGTTCATTACGTTCCTATGTAAAAGCTACGCTTGCAACAGAAAAACTGCAAAATGAATAGGGTAAATTCACAGTGAGGAGATTTCTGCTAACAAGGGCAAGCTTCTTCGATTGACATCTGGATATCATTTGCCCTGGCTTCATTCCAACCCAGTCAACACACACAAGTCTCATCTGGACAGGGCTTTGCTGGACTGCAGTGCAGTGCAGCCCCCACCTCCTGAGGCAGACCCTCCAGTTTTATGCAAAGGCTGAAACCATGTAACTGCATGAGCAAACGGAGTCTTCACCAGCTTCTTATAATGCAGCTGGAATTTCTGCAACGAGATGGGGAAGGAGCCCTGATACTCTTCCACTCTCTCCTGTTAGCCCAGATTTGCTCATCACTGACCAGTGTTGGAAACAGGGTCTGATGGTCCATATGGTCCATCACACCTGCAGGCATTGGTGCTTACATTGGAGTTTTCAGCCCAGCCTCCCCACGTAGGTATTTTCCTAGGATGCCAAGACCAATATGAGTCTCATCCATTTTCCCCAGCAGAGCATATTTTTTAGACACGACTGTTGTCAAGAGAAATTATTTCAGCCAGGACCATGCTCTGATCCTTTGGGTATACACCATATTTAGTCTGTTGCTGAGAGGGGGATGTTTCGGTATTTTGTGTTTGGCATGTTGATGGGAATTCCTAGAGGATCCTAGCTTTCCCTTTTTGGGATGTCTCCATCCCCAGGTCTCTCTGCACAAGGCTGTTGGCTACTCATGGCAGAAGGAGGGGGGACAGCCGGGGACTGAAAGTTTCAGGGCTGTGAGGGAGGCTTGACAAGGAGCAGATCCCACCCCAGCCCCAGGGCTGGTTTCACACTCCCTGTCCTCCTCTCCCCCCTCACACAGTGCTGCTGCCCACTCTTTCCACCACATCCCCATGGCTGTTCCCCCTCAGCTATTTATCACTTCTCTTCTTCCATTTATGGACAGAGGGAGGTATTTCTCATATATGAAAATGTATTTACAGTGCTTTCTTGGAAACTTTGCTGCATGCTGGCTGGCAAAAGAAACTTTGGCAAATCTGCTGGGAAAC